GTAGATAATTAGTTTTATTCCATTTAAGCTGTACACATTGTTCTCTTCTAGGCTGAATATTTTTCCCACGGAGAACTTCCATGGAGCCAACTGCCGCTGCGTTTCCATGGCAGCAGGTTTATAGATCGGTTCTGAACATGTTATCGTCATGTTAAAGTGACATATGCATTGTTAGTTGTTACTTGTTAAGACACGACGTACGGATTTGTGGTGCAACCATTTAGTAAAGTGATTATTTGAAAGTAACTTGTGTAACTAAAGACTCAGTAAAGACTTTAAACACAAACTTAAGTATAAACTTATGCAAACCTGGTACAACCCAGTCCAGATGAACATCTCTAAAGTGACACTGGAAAGGATGGAACTTGCAAGCTAGCTGATGCTTTCTACCAGCGGAGAACTCTCAATGCATTAAGGCCTTTAGAGAAAGACTAATGATTTATCATCATGTTGTTTGTATTCACACTCTGCCAGCATTGGCAAAATACTCTCATTTCATATTCAATATTTGTTAAAAAACAAAAGGGTTAAGATCTTGAAATGCCGAAAGAAAAACTGTCCAACTAGGATTTGTTTCCCACAATATCTAGGTAGATACAGCCAAGCAAGCTCTCCCATTGGTCAGGGTTTCAGAAGCTGAGCTGAAGGCCTTACATGTTGAATTAACAACCAACAAAAACAGGAAGTGACAGAGGAATCAACCAATCACTCAAGGCCTTCTGGAAGTTCTAGATATGTCACGGAATACATGTAACAACGTTAAGTAATCAGAGCACAAAAAAGACAGTAATGAGATTACAGGTACACTCAAATGCAAACTTCTTGTCTTCACTGAAATTTGCTGTCTTAATGATAAATTTGTCACATGAGTTGTGTAGATCTGAAGAGTTTTTAATTTGGTGGGAGGGGGGAGGCGGTGCTGCTGCTAGGAGAGAATTCTGAAGACATTCCCACCCAGGAGCAGTGTTTTATTCAGCCAATCTGTAGATTTTTAATAAATATTTTATTTTTATTGGCAGAACTGAGATCTGCAGTGTTTTACTCAAGGTATATGAACCAGAGGTTTAACCTGGATTTTCACACCACCAGATTCTACAGCAGCAGACTGATCAGATCAGATCAGATCAGGCAGTAAAATCTTTATTGTTACTTGTTGCTCCTGAAAATTGTACAGTTTGACCAGCTATAAATCAAACTTTTGAAAAGCTTGACCTGACAGCTTTAACCAACAGTCTGGCAGATAAAAGAGAAAATTAAGTCTCGTGAGCGGCAGAGTTTCATTTTCACTTGTTTGATTTCTTTCTTGATTTCTTGAATGATGTATGCAAAATGTTAATATCATTATTTGGAACTAAGACACTCCCACTTAATACCTATTTTAATGCCAGTTTAAACTCGTAGGATTTCTGTGGATCGCTGAGAGCTGATTAGGGAGCATCTAAAAATTACCATCATCAAAGTCTACGCATGACGCACCAAAATGGAGTCCTATGATCCTGTACAGCCTTTTAGCAGAGAGAACACACATGATGGCCAGTCAGAGTTTTTAGAATGGCCTCTGTTTATGATTATTGTTGATGAGGGGCCCCAAAAGAAGATTTTAACAAATTGATCTTTTGACGTAAATACGTCAAATCACGACTATTTCCATTTGATCCTATGTACTGGATCATTCTACATTAATTGCTTGTTCCCTGTGTTTTAGTCTCAGAGCTTTTGGTCTTAGTGTACTGATTTTTATTTAGTTATTTTATTTAACAATTTCCCTGTTAAAATCACTACATGTCTAAACTCAGACATATTATACTGTTACACAAATGTGTAATATGTCATTTTTATATTTTTAATATTTTCATATATTACACACTTAAAAATTGTTCGTCAGGGATTCTTAAGTAAAGAAAATGGTTCTATGTAGAACCATGAACACTCGAAGAATGCTTTGCATGATTAAAGGGATCGATGCATTGTTGAATAGTTCTTCAGATTGATGGAGAATGTGTTCTATGTGGGTCTATATAGAACCTTTTTGAAAGGGGTCATATGCAGCACCAAAAACGGTTCTTCTATTGTTACAAGCTTGACATCGTAACAGTAGAGGAGCTTTTTTGGTTCTATACAGAACTCTTTTTAAAAAAGTTCTATATAGAATTATCTACAGCACATTCTTCATCATTTAGAAGAACCATATAACGATGCAAAGAACCCTTTAATCATGTAAAGTGTTCTTTGAGTGTTCATGGTTCAATATAGAATGATTTTCTTTACTCAAGAACCCTTGAAGAACCATCAATTTTAAGAGTGTAGGTTTGGCCGTTTAGCTAAAAGTGAGATCAGTGACTGTTTCTGTGCAGCACAATATTTAAGTCACCTATAATCTATCATTCTGTTTCATAAAACATTTTTGTGTTTGATGTGTGTTAAATTCTTGTCTAAAAAGGCTTGTTGAAATAGTTTTTCTCTTTTCTTTATTTGATTAAACATTTTTAAGACAGGTAATCCAAAGTAATGGAAAGTAGTCAGATTACTTTACTTTAACAAAGGAATCCTTTGGATTAGGTTACAATTACATTTTTAACAGGTAATTATTAATCTGTAACAGAATATTTTTTAAAGTAACCCCCCCCAACCCTGACACCGTATCAGACCAACCAGTTTTCAGTTGTTGTTAGGAATGGAAAACAGTGGCAGCAGCTCTATACCAGACCTCCTCACTGAAAAACTAATTCAAGGCAAACATGTCTGTTTAAGGCATAAAATGGAACATATTTAGACCCTAAGGTCATCCTAGGACCCACTGGAGGGATTATCTCCAAATTGGCCTGGGAGCGGCTCAGGGTCCCCCAGAATGAGCTGGAGGAAGTTGCAGGTGACCACCACGACCCTAGCTGGATTAAGAGGTTTAAAAAAATTAATTAATGATGAATATCATTTACAAGCTTCAGATCTGTTTTTAATCTAGAAGGGCCAAAAAATGTTCATCCGCACCACCATAGCTTAGCACTAACATACTATTAGACGTCATGGAGGGTAGACTAGCAGAAATCAGTATTATCATAGAGGTGTTTTTATTTATTTATTAATTTATTTATTTATTTTTAATCTTTGAAATCTATCAAAGATTGAAAATTGTTATTGTTTGCTATCCAGTGTTGACCAGAGGAGGATGGGTTCCCCTTCTCAGTCTTTTTGGTTCCTCTCAAGGTTTCTTCCTTTTGCTCTCACAGAGTTTTTCCTTGCCACTGTCACCACTGGTGATGCTCATGGGGGCTTAGACCCGGATTTTTTCGTAAAGCTGCTTTGCAACAATGCTTGTTGTAAAAAGTGCTATAGACAGTAAATAAACTTTGATTTGACTTCACTTGACCCAGAACAAAGAGATTTGACATGTACGGGCCAAACTGGAGACTTAATTCTAATAGTCACAGTTCACACTGCATTCTACAATGTTTGTGATAACCTAAATTTGTATGCAGCATTAAAATAGTGCTGTGTAACAGATAGCAGCTGTTTGCAGTCATTTGTCTTTCTAGTCCTGCCAGTTTGTAGTTCATCATTAATGAATTATGTTCACCAGGTTAGGCTAGATCCCTGCTTTTTCTAAACCCAGTTCACATAAATATGGTCTGTGCATTAGCCCCTGCTCTAGATAGTTCAGCTACCCAAAAGCACCCGTCATAAAATATTCCTGCTGCTGCCGCTGACCCTGCTGAGGGAGACACAATTCATTTCCTGATGATTTATGAATGGGTTTCTCGGAAAGCTAGGAAAGGTTAGCTCATGATGTGGCTACAGGTAATTTATTCTGTTTGCCATTTTCTTTCTTTCTGTCTTTTCCCCTACAATATTTTTTTCCCAGCCACGGTTTAATCAAACATGTGCGACATGTACCTTATTTAGCCTGCTTTGACAATAGCAATTTGAATTGAGAACAAGATGACAGTTGCTTTCACAGTGTCCTCCAGTGGATTTCCTTGTAGAGCCTAATTACTAACCATTATCACCTGTACCTGCCAACTAAAGAAAGAACTGCATATCTTTCAGACTCTATCAATCACTTAAACACAAGGATTAAGTGCTCTTTTTATTAAACACCCTCCAACATAAATGTAAAAAGCACACTGGCACATATAATAATAATAATAATAATAATAATAATAATAATAATAATAATAATTTCTTGTTTACTTATGTCTTTTAACCAAATAAAGTCTGCAAGTGCATTCACTGACTTCAAGGCTTTTTGTGAGGGAATGTACAGCAAGATATATCATAATGTTTTAACTGACCAACCTCCCCCCTCTGATTAAGCTCCTATAATCTCCTATAATCCCTCTTTTATATTTTTCTCATTAATAAATCCACATACTGGCCCACTTACACTGTATGTACAAGTGTATGTACGTACATAAACATACACTGCAATACTTTGACTCGGCTGAGAGGACAGTGCTGATTTGGGGTCTTCCTCCAACATTTGGTCATACACACTGACAAAAATGGACATTCAGAATTGTTGCAGCACAAATGACTAGCTCTCCGCTTCCATCTTAGACCTCCCCAAAGTCCATCCACCTCTGCAGAGCTAATTTAGACAGCTGCTAATATCTTCTGGTGAGTCAGGTAGGCAGCAAAAGGAAAAGCAGCATTAGAAAAAAAACATGTTCCCAAGAGTTCTTGAAAGGAAAGCATGTTGAGCTGCTGTCACTCAGCCGTTACTGAGAGAAATTTATTCACGCTGGCAAAACACGGCACCTCAGTCAGTAAAAAAAATCTTTCTTTGAATCTTTGATGTTTTTTTTCAACCTGTGTATGAGATGTTCATGTATATGTGTTTCAAAGTTTTAGTTTACTCCCCTTTTCCTTCATATATTATTAGTCCAAAACTGGAATGAGTAAATCCTCAAAAAAGATACAAGCAAGTCCCACAACACCCAATCATTCAGTTAAAACCCACTACTAGCAAATGCCAAGTCCCTCATGCATTCCTCAGATCTGATGGTAGAACTGTGCCAGGATGGAGCCTTGATGAATTACGACAGGTTACTTGGTCATGTGTCGATAATCTCTTGCACTGGTGTAGGTTCATGTGGAAGGCTTGTCGCGTTTGGTAGAGCCTGCCCGTGTCCCACCGAGTTCTGCTGGATCTCCATGGGAATACCAGTTGTGTTCTCCCGTGCCGCCGGAAATTCCCGGCACTGTTTCCGGTACTCCAGGAAGGTACATGCCTTGGTGGCTATCGCCACCACGTTCTTGCCGACGAAGATAGTAGAGACGCGGCTGTCCTGAAAGAGCACCATGTTGACTCCACGTATCAGGATGGTAACCACGTTGATGGTGACCAGGCTGAGCATGGGGTACAGCATCATCTTCTGGGGTGATACGTGTTCTCCTTGCACACTGATCTCACTCAGTGATACGCAAGGGAGGATCAGCAGAAGTATGTAGCAGTAGAAGAACATTAGTCCTTCTGCCCAAATGGGTAACCCTGTTCGCTGGGGTTCCCAAAGGTTTGCCTGGATGTCTAGAAGGTCCAGCAAGTCCAGGGCCACCCAGAAGAGCCTTCCCCTCATGTCCTCTTTCTTCCGAAACGTCCGAACGTATTCCATGCTGTCCAGCGCCACCAGGACTAGGTAGAGTCCTGGGACACAAACAGATAGGAGCAAAGTCAAAGCCTTCCGCGCAACGGTTTCAAGACTCTTGCGGTCTGCCTTGCAATTCTGGAAGACGAAGTAGAGCTTGATCTCCAGTACAAAGATGTAGAGGAACCAAAGGATCATGGCATAGCCGCGGCGGGCCGTCCGAACTTCGGCCCCCACCCAGACGGCTACGTAGCGGAGGACTATGAGGAAACACACGTCCCCAACCAGGACGATGATGCAGACCCCGATCTTTCGTGGGCCCTGATTCTGCTCCACCAGGTAAGCGTCCATGAAGGCCATACTGGTCATGATGACGATAGTGGTAAGACAGACGTGTCGTTTGTCCGGTGGTGGCAACACCATGGCTAGGGCCACCACCGCTAGCACCAAAGTCACTGTTGCGTCAGCCTTAGCCTTAGGGAGTCCGGTTTCAATTACTTTCCCCAGCTCCTTTTACTCTATTTTGCTTGGCTATGGGCTCTCTCCTTTTGTGCAAAAGCTGTTTCCCATTTCTACAAGGCTGAAATACGTTATGGTAAATTGAGAGACTGCTTTTATATGTCTAATCCTTGTGAGCGAGCATGACTATGAGAGTCATTTGTCTTTCTTGCCTGGCAGAGGACAGAGGCAAATGGATTCTTTTTTCTTGCTGTAGCTACTGTAATTCTGGTAAGGGAAAAGTAAGTCCTAGATTACAACAGACCAAGACATTTAGTGTTTTTTGTGTTACAATGGAGTCTTTGTTTATTGAAGAGATGCAGTAATTCCAGTTTGAAGCAGTACAAAATGAATTTTGAGTTCAGGCAGAGGCCGGAGCTGGAACTGGAACTGTTTTGCAATGGAAATGCGAGTCTGAGAGAGGAAGGCAAAGCTGGGTTTTGGCAGGTGATTCCTCTCTGGCTCACTGAATGGAAGAGGCTATCTGCTCATTACTCACTGAGGTTCCATTGATCCTGCTAGACTACTGAGACTGCAAGCCAACCACGCCTTAGCATTTATGGATAAAATGCCATGATTTTCCTGCATCCGGAGTACATTCTGAGAGCGAGGGGAAATCCGTAGTGGGCACACAGACTGAGTGTGGTTTTCAGATTATAAATGGCTGGCTGTGTCAAACGAGAAGGGAGTCGAGAGCGTGTGCGTGTAAGAAAGATGTCTGCTGAGTCAGTTGCTTGAGTTATCAGACCGTTTCCAGGAAATATTAGGGGACCGTTCAGGCTGTGGGTCCAGCAAAATGACCGAGCAGTCTTTGAATGTCGATGTGTATTAAGTCCAGGGACTTCTGTGTGAAGGATAGGGCAGCAGTGGACAATTGACTTTGTACAGCAGCCATTCATCACCCAGACATTGATACAGCAGCTTCAAGGGCCAGAGTTCATCCATGGCACCCACAAGGGGAGGCTGTCTCACTGGGCTTCACTCGCATCCTCGCCCCCCTCGCCTGACTTGGCCTAAAAGAGAGAGAGAGAGGAAAAAGAAGCATGTCAGCACAAAGCTGTTACTTACGGCTCATTGCCAAAGATCTAGACTGTGTCAGGGTCATTTTGGTAAAACCCAACCTGAAATCAAAACTGGCCATGTTAGTTCATGTTTCTGGTCATATTAAGCATTATCATATTATCATAAAATTATTTCATGTGGTAACAAGTAAATTAACTAGTTTTATTCAACCTAAATAAATACTTTGTATGATTAGAAAATGTGTTTGTTTGATAAATCTGTAGTTCCAAAGTATTTTGCCACATAGGTCACGACTGAGGAAGCTACCTCAAACATTTGTTCTTACATTGAACCTTTTCTATGTAACTGGGTCCTTACATAACTCTGATGTTAAAGCTACTGTTTTGCTGAGTGACTGTTGTTAAAAGTAGTCAAAGGCACACATTTGCGACTAGCTAGTCAGCTGATTCAATTGAGTCAAAATGATTAGTGATGTTAGGTCAGAAGGCTGGGGTTTACAGTAGTTTGAGCTTTCTAATGACTTTCGAAAGAATCAGATCATATTTTAATATTAACTCACTAACAAGTGAAGTTATTTGACCATCAAGCCATTTGGACAAAAAACAGAAAGGCTATTAGTTTAAATCACATTTTTACAATATCAGTAGTGAGAACTCCATATAATTTTTCCAACATTGGAGACAGCCATGGAAAAATAGGGCTCCCTACCTCCAAAATCCTAATTCAACCACTGTTCCCAAGTAATCAAACTCATGAAACATGTATCTGTTCTATATGCTTCCACATATATGCTGCCACATACAGTACAATCAAAAAGTCCCTGTGTAGGTAGCGTTACGGTACTGTATATAACGGCTGTTGCAGGGCTCATTAAGACTTTCCTCCATTTTCTGTGTAGCAATAACACAAAGGCTTAGCCTGAAAGGAGAAGCTAAATATTTGATGCTGACTGTTTGATTATGAATATTATGCATGGGCTGTGGGACTGGTAAATGTTACAACTATTTCAAAGCCAAAGCAAACGTAACTCATCTTCAAAGCTTCAAATATTTTTAGTTATTGACCTTTGGCAGCCGAGAGAGTCTTTATAATCTTTATATTGAATGTCTTAATGTAATTTCGCCTGGCGCTGATTCAGGAGTTTTCAAGAAGACATTTCCTCTTTGCATGTGAGAGTTTTCTTGCAGAGAAAAGTTTTTTTTAAGGCTTTTCGTGACACACTTAACTTTTGAAAAACTACTTTATTGGAAGTCTTCCAACTCGTGCTCCCACACAGTCGTTTACGCTTAGAGTTAAAATGAGGTGTGTGCAGAAAAAAAAGGCCCACAGTCTCCAGAGCACTGATGCATGCCAATACAGTGGCATTAATTATAGCCTGCTTAGCAGGTGGATGGGTAAAAAAAAAAAAACATGCAAAAGCATTGCTCTGGAAGATTATAATACTTTCTGCATATTTTTACAGCCATAAAACAGTCATGCTAGGGCTAAGACATTGAAAGCGTGCATAATTTGTCATAACGTTTAAGTGTTTTTGTATAAAACATTTTAAAATCACAGTTTGCAAAATTTTCTACCCTTGGCTTGCAGTACAGCAGACAAAGAGCACACAACTTTCTTTCCCAAACAGATATCCAGCTGAAAATGCAAATGCGCCATTACCTCCCAATCCACATGAAGCTCCGAATGCTTTACTTTCATGAAGTGAAACAAATACTCCCAAAACTATGTAAAACTTTATAAATTTACACTACCATTCAAAAGTTTGCAGTCACTTGTCATATTAATTAAGTTGGCCTGACAAACTACTGTAGCATTGTGCAGGAGAAGAATCAGGAGACCATAATTTCTGCTCAAAAATATTGTTTATTTAGAACAAGGCAGAAATGCCACTTGAAAAGCTACTGACTATAGAGGCAGGTCACTCCTAGCTGTGCTCTTTCTCTTAACGGTTACATAACAGGCCCAAGATCAACACAATATAGGACAATAAACACATACACACACCCAACCGGTGAATAACAACATTATCACAACACAACAGCAAAAGCAAAAGATGCCTCTGCAACCAAAGTAAGTGGCAGCCACCATAATATTGATTGGATGCATGGTTTTCGTACTGGGCTCGTTCAAGACTATTTTTCCCGTAGGAAATGAGTGGCGGAAGTTCAGAACTTTCAAATCTAACTGCCACAATTGATGCCATAAAACAAAAACTTCTTACTCTGCAACACACATATTAGCAACCACTATGGATACCACAGCAGTGGCATTGCAAAATCTTAGCAACCAACTGGGAACAGCGTAGCAACATCCAAGGAACACCTTAGCAACCACCTGGGATACAATTCCATTGGCCTAGCAACACCTTAGAAACCACCAGAGGTAGCATAGCAATGGCCAGGCAAAGCCTCAGAAATGATCTGGCATAACACAGCAACAGCCTAGCACCACCTTAGCAACCACCTGGTATACCATAGCATCAGCCTAGCAACATCTCAGCAACTGCTTAGCATACCATAGCAACAGCCTAGCAACACCTTAGCACCCACCTGGTATATCATAGCATTAGCCTAGGAGCACATTAGCAACCATCTAAGATACCATAGAATCAGCATAGCAGTACGTTAGCAACCACCTAGGATACCATAGCAATAGTCTAGCAACATGTTAACAACTAACATGTTAGCAACACCTTAGCAACGACCTGGTATGTCATAGCATTAGCCTAGGAGCACATTAGCAACCACCTAGGATACCATAGCAATAGCTTAGCAACACCTTAGCAACCACCTGGTATACCATAGCATCAGCCTAGCAGCACTGTGGCAACTACTTAGGATACCATTGCAACAGCCTACCAACACCTTAGCAACCACCTGGGATACCGCAGCAATAGCCTAGCAACATGTTAACAACTACTTAGAATACCATAGCAACAGCCTAGCAACACCTTAGCAACTACATAGGATAACATAGCATCAGTTAAGCAGCACATTAGCAACCGCCTAGGATGCCATAGCAACACCTTAGCAAACAACTAATGACCACCAAGCAATGCCGTAGCAACACAGCTCATCATTGAAATTGTTAACACTGATAATTGAAACAGCTTCCTAGAAAAAGTTCAAAGTATATAGAATATGAACACCATATTATAATCACTGTATATGTATCTGCAAGAAAATTATCATATTTATAAAAACAGTGATTCCAAGCTTTTAAAACCATAGTATACAAGCCAGAATCTCAGACAGCTTTTCCTATTTCATATTTGAGAGTTACTACATTCATTAAAGCATCAAAAGGCAGCATAGAAAAGTAACTAGAACTCTCCCCGGTCAGAGAAAGTCTTAAATTCCGCTCATTTGCACGGATCAAATTAATTCATGCTGCTAGATCCCTGACTTTAATCACTCAAGCCGCAAATGTATCGAACCTCACTCAAAGGCCCACCAGGACTGACCCTTTTAATATTCAAACAGTATCCTGCTGGAGTTGGTCTGACAGCCAGGGTCTCCAGGCATCTCATCAACGCACCGAACTGACATTTGCAAACATTTAACACAAGTAATGAAGACTAGACACAACACACACAGCCACGCTCACTGGGCCCAATCAACAAATCCCTGAAACCCCCCAGTAGCTAAATAAGACATTTTAACCCTGTTTAAATATAATTTCATGTCACATTCTATCTTTATCTTTATCATACTGGACTGTGCAATAGCCTTTAACTTATTATTAAGTTTATACAAGTAAATACGAGTGTAAGAATGAAAAAAATCAAAAGTACTGTTTTTGAAAACTTGCAGAATTTAAGTGTTTATGTTCTTTCAGCTTTAACAAAAGCACTAGAATAAATAATTAATGGTTGATGATAAAAATCTAAGAATGCAAGGGTT